AAAATTAACTTAGAATAATATTTTTTCAAAATGTTCTTCTTTTGTGAACAATGCTTCTATTATAATAATATTTTGACTGTATATAGCTCAGACCTCTTTACAAAGGCTCAACTATGATTTTTGAAAATTCACATTATTTTCAGAGTTACAAACAATTGAAATAATTACCGGCGTTTTTTCTTAATATTGCTCCCTTCTGTTGTCGTAAAATATGGATAAACCCATTTCTAAGTTATATATTTCAAAAATTTCAGTTGTGCCTCTGTAGAGAGGTCTGAGCTATACACAGGCAAAATATTGTTATAATAGAAGCATTTTTCACAAAAGGAGAATATTTGGAAAAACAATTATTCTAAGTTACTTTTTTGCCAAAATATTGTATTTAAATAATTGTTTTTGTCAAAATGTCCTTAAAACAATTGTATGCATGTATTCTAATCTAAGTGACACTAAATATCATGAAAATTATCCATTTATGTGCTTTTGAAATATCACGGTTCCGAACGTATTCGGATACCTTAACTTTAAGTAAAGTGAAATCATTCTAAAAGTGATTGTAAAATTTCCATGTTGCTTCAGAGACATGTGAAATATAATATTAAACGGTAATATTCTGGAAATACATCAGAAAACACAAGATCAAAAACTAATTTCATATCAAATTAGTATGAAAAATTATGTGTCACTCTCATCGTTTGTTATCATTTTTACTATTTCATGAGGTAGTATACACTTATAACGAGCAGTTAAAAGATAATATACTCTCAAGATAACTATCGTTGGGAAAAAAAAGGCTGTTATTTATTTTTGTGCACTTTCATTCCTTAAAAAACTGTAGCTTGAATTCAAATACATGTTATAAATTTATGCAGATAATTACTTGTATAAAGAATATCGGCTATGTCATTGCTTTAAATATTTAAGCAGATAGTTTAGCTTGAAGGACATTTCTTACGAAAAAATTTTATTTTGGGAATTATTCCTTTTATATATGTTGAAATATAAAAAGAGGCTTATTTATTCCAACATATTTCATGTTTTATGTTAGCTTAAGACCTCACAGGACTCTTAAATTGCAAATTTTTCAATTTTTTGAAAAAAAATAAATGTTAAAGCCTCAATATTTCTGAGTATTTTGGTACAAAATTGTGTTGATACTGTGAAAACTTCCGAAGCTATTGAGAAATAAGTAGTGAAATTTTATAATGAAAACTCTATCTCTTTCTTATCTTTCAACTTCATTTTTCGCGAAACAAAACATTTCAGCTTCCGCGCAGGATTTCTCAGAAACTATTTATGATATCAATTTGAAATTTAATACACGTGTTCAAAAAATAAGGCTCTTCATAACTTATATATCAATTTTCAAAAAATAGCAGAATTTTTTATTTGAATTTTAATTTATTTTTTTTCTTAAAATTTTAAAATTTTCGTTATAATTGTATTTAAAAAATATTTTTTTCCTCTAAATTTCTTAAAAGTATGTATAACTTCAAAAGTGAACATTTTGATTCCAAGTAAAATTAATTTTGTAAATTTTGATCCAATTTGTACTTCAGAATCCAGCGCTGTGTAAAATACTAATTTTCATATTTTTGAAAATTGTCCAATTTTTATTTCTTCATAACTTTTTTACTTTTTTCTCAAATTTTCTGAAAATTTCAGAAATATTGTAAATATATACGATTATCATGTGGTAAAAATTTAAAATTATCGTTTTGCTTTGCTGTTAAGTTACATTGGTTTAAAGAAGGATGTTGTTTTCGAGTGTGCACGGATAGCTGTTAAGAGGAGCCCTTAATAATTTGAATGTCTTTGTTTATGAGAAAATATGTCATCTTATTATATTAGGTTTTTTAAAACTGTTTTAACAAGTGATTGGAATTATAACTTTAGTATCAATTGTGTTTGACCTTTTTAATGACGAAAGTTACAATGTTATAAGCTTGAATAGTCATGACTAGGGTTTGCAGAGCCCCAGGATCCCGGTGTTTCTCCAAATCCCGGAAGTAAAATGACTAATCCTGAGATTTAATTTTTGTCTAAATTATATTTGAAAATTTTTTTCTTATCAAAATTTTCTAAAAATTTAATTATCAAAAAAATTTATATTTTTTTCTGAAATATGTACGTAAAATTTCTTTTGCGCAATTCTTTTCTTATTGATAAATATATTGAAAAAAATAATCTAACGGAACAATTTTAAACCTTGAGTACTAGACGCATTTTAGTTTTTTTTTTTCATTTAATATTCAGTTTACATTACATTAAATTCACAGGCAAGCGCCGGCACCAGGTCGGAACTACAAGATACACAGGCAAACATTTATTTGCACGTTCAACGTACTGTAAAGTAATAGTGGATCTATACTTGAAAGACTTGACGCTTCAAACCCACTGCATTACCAACACCTCATGGGACTGGATTTTCTATTTCAAATGATATAACACTTGAAATTGATTCACCTTCCGACTCAATAACTGAATCAATTTGTACACGAAAACCATTAAGGTATCCGACTACGTTCGGAACCGTGATTTTGCAAAAGCGTGTAAATGGATAATATTTATGATATTTAGTGTCACTTAGATTAAAAAATAATGTTCATAAAATTGTTTTAAAAATAGTATTACAATAAAAAATTATTTAAGTACAATTTTTTGACAAAAAAATTAACATAGAATGACCCATTTTCAAAATGTTCTCCTTTTGTGAAAATGCTTCTATTATAATAATATTTCGCCTATAATAGCTCAAACCTCTGTACAGAGACTCAACTAGAATTTTAGAAATATATAACTTAGAAGTGGGTTTATCCATGTTTTACGACAACAGAGGGGAGAAATTTTAAGAAAAAAACGCCGATAATTATTTCAATGGGTTGTAACTCTGAAAATAATGTGAATTTTTCAAAAATCGTAGTTGAGCCCTGTACAGAGGTCTGAGCTATATACAGGCAAAATATTATTATAACAGAAGCAATTTTTACAAAAGGAGAACATTTTAAAGAAAGGTTATTCTATGTTAATTGTTCGTCGAAATATTGTATTTAAATAATTGTTTTTGTCAAAAATGTCCTTAAAACAATTTTATACATGTATTTTAATCAAAGTAACACTAAATATCATGAAAATTATACATTTATGTGTTTTTTTAAAATCATGGTTCCGAACGTAGTCGGATACCTTAAGTTCAGAAGAAGAACTAAATAAAGTTACCAATGAGGGGGATATGCACCAAAAAAAATGCAGCTTGTTAAATTTGAGACACTGTCATTAAAAATTCAAAAAAAAAGAAAATATCTTTCTCGAAAATGAAGGGCGACGAGGTGACTACCTGAAAAAACATACACTGCTATTGAATAATGATAGAGCCTACCAGTGTAGATTCTCAACGAGCATTTGCTTTGACAAGACATTTTGTAACAAAAATGAGAAGCCGTTCGAACGACGAAACGTTGGACGAGCTGTGTTTCTTGAAAGCTTATTTACAGAAGCACAAGAAATGAAGAAATTTTTATTTCATTATGTACTATTTTTAATTTGTTTTTTATGATAATTAAGTTTTGTTTTGATTTATTTCAATAAATAATAATATTAAACGAATTTTTTAATTATGTTTTCAGTATTATTATGTAATTTCAACTGTGCTAATTTGTAAGTATTTTTCAGAAGCAGTCCAATCCTAATCCCGGGATTGAAAATATGTCACGGGATTGCAAACTCTAGTCATGACTTTTTCATGTTTTGTTTTTAAATTATTTTTTTCTAAGAAATTAGATACTTAAAGTATATTTTCACTCAATTGAAATAAGTACTTAACTAAAAATAAATTGTAAGTTTTTTCAATCGATACTAAAAGGCAGCATGTTTTGAAATGGATTAAAATGCTTAAACACTCTTCAGATGTGTGTTCTAAATTAAAACAGAAGTAATTTTAGAGTCTATGCTTTAAATATGAATTGTCCAACAAGTTGCCATGCACAAACAAAAGATTTAAAACATGTTAAATTTTCGAAAGTGAAATGGCTTTTCGGACGAATTTAAATATTTTAAGTAAAATATGTCACTAATTCTACGAAAAAAAGTGAATTATATATATATATATATATATATATATATATATATATATATATATATATAAGGATAATTAAATTAGATTAAAAATTAAATTCCCTATCTAGCACTTAACTCATGTTTTTCACTTCATCTTCAAGTATCAAACTAATCACCCATTTATTTCTTCCGAACATATGGCCTAGCCAATAAACATGTCTAATTCCAGATCATTATATTTAATAGCCCTATATGTCACCATTAGCTTTCAAGTATAATCATAAAATCCGCGATACTTACCCCATCTATGTTTTAAGTGCTAACCCACTTAAAAGACACCGTGGCGTGTTTTTTTCCTCCCTGCTCTTAGCGTTAGAAGAGATGTACTAATTCTAGAATAAAGACCTTTTTTAAAACTAAGTCTGATTTTGGTTCAAAACATGTCATATATATATAATTATTAAGGGAAAAACAATTTTGATTTTGTACGTGTGTAATCACATATATTTATTATATATGTTGTAATTAGATTTAATATATTAATCTTCCAGTTAGAGTTAGAGTAATCGCTTATAATGTCATAGGTACAGGGTTCGATACCCAGCTCCTCCAATTATTATTTTTTTGTGTAAAATATTTTTGAAATTCATTTTATTTCTACAACGGGATATTTTACAATATTTCCACACAGCATACGTACAAAGCAAGTTATATTTTACAAGCTTTTATTTAACTTGCAATGTGTGTAAAATGTTCGGGTGGAATATAGCAACTCAGTTTTGAAGCTGATGTCTTCGACCGATTGAGCTGAAATTTTGTATACACGTTTCATTTGGATGGCAATGTATGTTTTGACGATTTATATTTCTATATCAACCTAGTCACTGTAACGATCTTGTTCAGGTGTTAAGGCGAGCATGTTTACAGTAACAAAGCTGTGGACCGGGGGCGTAGCTCAGATGGTAGAGTGTTCAGTTACCACGCGAAAGATACGGGGATCGATACCCCGCGCATCCATTTATTATATTTTCATGCAAAATATTTTTGAAAATCGTTTGATTTGTACAACGGGATATTTTACAATACTTCTACTCTGCACACGTACAAAGTATGTTATATTTTTACTGTACTAGAGGGAACACTAAAAAAGGCAGGTCTATCAAGCTATTTCTATTTACTTTGAAACATCCTATGAGATTTATTTACTCGATTCTAGTTTCTCCCGTAACAATTTTTATTGACCTAGTCACTGTAACGATTGATACCTCGATACGTCTCTGTACGGGATTGATACTTTGGACCTCCAATTATCATTTTTTCGTGTAAAATATTTTTGAAATTTGTTTTATTTGTACAACGAGATATTTTACAATACTTCTACTCATCATACGTATTAAGTATGCTATATTTTTACAAGCATTTATTTAACTTGCAATGTAAAATGTTCGGTTGAAATTTTGCAACTCAATTTTGAAGCTGATGTCTTCAACCGATTGAGTTGAAATTTTGTATACACGTTTAATTTGGATGACAATGCATGTTTTGATAATTTATATTCCAATATCGCAATTAGTTAAAAAGACTAGCTGCATGACCCGGCGTTGCACGGGCATTCTCTACTTTTAAATTTTCCCTTTTCTTCAAAAAATCAGCACTTCTAGTACTCTTTTTCGAAATGATTCGCACCCCCTCCCCCTCCTCCGCTTAGTCCTGCGTTGCTCGGGCTTTTACTTAGTGTATAAGTTAAAATTCCCTGTTTCAAAATTTTTTCTTCTGTTCTTTGTCACACATGTTTATACCCCCCCTTCACGGCGTTGCACGAACATTTTTAAATGCGTAACATATTGTCATGGAAATTCCCCTCTCCCTCACGCTATCAGAGCTCTCGAGTAAGTGACCATTCACAATTCTTAAGCATCTTGACGAGTGCAGCCATATAGTGGCAGAAAATGTAATTAATTATTGCACAAATGAAATTCATGAAAAAAAATTTGCGACATTTTATTTTTTAAACCACTAACCGTAAAAGATCAAAGTATGAGTTTCTTAAAAATAATTTTCATATAAACGCATTGATATTGATTTATTTTAGAAAAAATAATATGTAAAGTATCGCTGTTATGTAAATAAAATTAAAAAAAAAAACGTACTGTATCGCGACGAAATAAATTATCTTACCTATTTACCACTTACAAAATTGCTGGCGAAATTATTAAGTGCGCGAATAAAATTTTGAATTTTTTTTTAAAAAATCACAAAATCTAAGCGATGATGTTGTTTCTAACCCGGTTATAAAAGTTACTAATTCAGCGCTCTAAGCGACCAATCAGAGAAATCTTCGGAACAAAATAAATAAAAGACCGTTGAAAAAAAGGAAGAGATATACAATTTCGCATTCCGTTATTGCTTAAAGTTTAAATTTTTTTCGGGCTTCATTTTTAAGTTAATGCCTTCAAACTTCATATATCGATTACAAACAACGTTAATTTTTAAACAAAAAATGTACCAAAAATAATGCTTAAATATTTTTCGCATAAAGGAAAAAACGAAAACTATAATTTTTAAGCAATTTTTTCAGTCTTTGTACAAATTCAAGATAATATTGTTTTACATATGGAAAAAATGTTTTATGAGATTATTTTTATAAATAAAGAACTTATATATATATTAAGTATTTAAATAAAAATTTGAGTATTTTTTTATATAAAACGTTTTTGACATTTTATTTTTAAAGTGACTGATTCCAAAAGAGAAAAGCATGAATTTTATTAGTGTAGAATATATTTTTATTAACGTGATAGCAAATGCAATCGGAACGATTTAGAAATCATTTTCATAAAAACGTATCGATTTTGACTAATTTTAGAAAAAATCGTAAAGAATAGAAAATATAATTATTTTGTAAAATAAATTATACCGTATCGTGGCGAAGTAAATGATCTTTCCGATTCTGTAATTATTTTTTGTCTGAGTGTCATAAAAAAAATAGATCGTGTTTTAAAAACGTCTGGGATAAAAAAAAAGATCGGAAAATTGGAACATTGTCACTTGGCGGGAAAAAATGGCAAATATCTATGCGTTTTAAGGTTTTTAATTAATATCTTTTTGACGTTCTGCACTTTTGGAATATAAATGGTCAAAATGGATTCCTTGGATCATTCCGAATCTTTTGGAACCAGCGGCGAGTTTTGCGTTGCGGGATTAGTGAGAAGATACACTTAGTGTTATAGTCTCATACGTTTGTTTACCTTCGAATTTCATTAATATAGATATTAATTAAAGTAATTTCTTCGGGCTTAATTTTGCAAACGATATAATTCTTTAAAAAGAATAATGACATTTTCTATTTCTTACAATTTTTTCTAAAATGAGTCAAAATTGATGCGTTTTCATGAAAATGATTTCTAATTCGTTCCGTATGATTTTTTTTTTTCGTGTTATTGAATCGATATCCTGCACTAAGAAATTTCGGGTTTTTCTCTTTTAAATCAGTCATTTAAAAAATAAAATTACTAAAAAATTTTTTTACGATTTTTCAAAAAATGCTTAAATTTTTAATAAAACATTCAAAAACTTAGTCATTTTTAAATATAATTGCACGAAACATTTTTTCGTTTGTAGAATTGTATTATTCAAATTCTGCACAAAAATTGAAAAAAATTTAGTTTAAAATTACAGATTTAAAAAATAAAAAATTTTGTTTTTCATTTTTAATATAGTATTATAGGAAAAAGATGAAAAAAAGAGTTTTAATATTTTAATTATTTGCTTTGTCCAATATTACTTTGATCCAATATTGTTTATCCCTCCTTCCATTATCTTCTTGTTGCGGCCCGAGTGTAATATCTATGATATGTATGTGGTCTGGCGGAAAAAAGTGTAGAGTAACCCTTCGCTGGACTGTTTAAAATTAAGCGGCAAACGACCTTGCAGCAATGATGCGCTGAATGAAATTAACAGACTGAGAAATCTCTGTCCAGTGATAACTAAAAAGTAAAAAATAAATTAAAAGTGAAAAAAACTTTTTTTAAAAATAAGCTTTTATTTAAACGCTCTAAAAAGAATAAAATAAACTTTTCTTTTATAACTTTTTTTTTTGCTATCAACTTATAAATTCGATACACAATTTATGATATAAAAGCTTGTCGCAAGATTAATCTGTGTAGATACACAAGCAAATTAAATAACTTGATCTGATTGATTTTAATTTTTAAAACTTTCAAATTAAGTAAATATGAGTACTTAAATATCGCGACAAGCTTTTATATCAGAAAATGTGTAACGACTTTATAAGTTGATAGCAAAAAAAAGTTTTAAAAGAAAAGTTTATTTTATTCTTTTTAGAGCATTTAAATAAAAGCTTGCTTTTAAAAAAGTCTTTTTACTTTTAATTTTTTTGTCGAACACTGTTTTTAGATCGATCCCTTATACACTTTACCACGAATTTCACATTATTGGAAGTAAATATTATCTTTATCTGAACACCAAAAGTCTTCTGTTTACTTTGATTAAATATTGTCATTAATTTCAAAGGATCTCTATTTGAAAATAAATGAAGTGTCAACGCCTGAATGTGGATTCCCTTTATAGTATTAAACAACTTCCAAGTAAAGGACTTCCTCCTCTTTTGAACATGCTAATATCATATGGTGTAGGGCGTGGTACCGATAATACTGTTTGCTTGTGATGTTTATCAATGTCGAAAAAATAAGAGCAGGTATTTATAACTTTCAATGGTGCTTATAAAAAAATTATATGATCTTTTGTAGAGATTCCTACTTTTTTTTATTGCTTGTAGTTTTTATTTGTGTTTTCTTACAATTCGTTTGATTTAACATGAAACTAAAGTTGATTAATGTATCCGACTACGTTCGGAACCGTAATTTTGCAAAAGCGTGTAAATGGATAATATTTATGATATTTAGTGTCACTTAGATTAGAAAATGTATATAAAATTGTTTTAAAAATAGTATTACAATAAAAATGATTTATGTACAATATTTTGACAAAAATGAACGTAGAATGACCCATTTTCAAAATATTCTCCTTTTGTGAAAAGTGCTTCTATTATAATAATATTTTGCCTGTATATAGCTCAGACCTCTGTACAGAGGCTCAGCCAGAACTTTTGAAATATATAACTTAGAAGTGGTTTTATCCATGTTTTACGACAGAGGGGAGAAATTTTAAGAAAAAAACGCCGATAATTATTTTAATTTGTTGTAATTCTGAAAATAATGTGAATGTTTCAAAATTCATAGTTGAGCCTTTGTACAGATGGACCTTGATGTTCGCAAGTTTAAGAGTTCCTGTTGTAGACAAATCTTATAAGAATCAAATGAGCGCGCGCGCCTCATTTTATTTTCGATTCGTTAAATTTTTCCAAACTGTCCTTTATTTTAGAATTCGCTCTTCTAAATTAAAAATAGAACATACAAAAATTCATCTTTAACTCGTTTGAAATGCGTAACTTCGTATTATACTTGCTCTTGAGCTCTCTGCAGCACTACCTGGCAAACAATACCTGAACTTCTTCTGTAATCAGAAGCATCAGGTATAGATTGTTTTATTAACAGTGAATTTTGGATTAACACTTGAGTTATCGACAGTGAATCTCGTAATTTTGAACAGCGGTGAAGTGATGAGGACGACATTTGAACTATATTTCAACTTCCTCATCCCACTAACATAAGGATTTTTGAGCTTTCAGAGATGTAACGTGCAACTACTCCTGTACACGGCGGCTCACTGATGCCAAATGGATGTGAACCCACAATTTGAGAGAAAACAATTTAGCTACGAGTATGCGATTACGCGAACGTACCAAACACTGGGTAGAAATCCCACCCTCAAAAAACTTACCTCTACGGCCAATTGGATTTCTTCCTCTCAAATATTCGCTTTGAGTAAAAATAAAACTTCTATTTATTGCCATTCGACATCCAAGAAGACCAAAATACGAATTTAGAGGAACTAAAAGCTGATTTTTTCCATCGCTATCATTGAATCAATAAAGT